GCCTGCTAGATCGAATCCAACATCATCCACCCAACTGGACAAGTGAGCTTTGGGGTGATGTTCCTTCCAGGGGATGAGCGCCGGTGCCAGAACAGCCTTTGCCAGCAGTGGTGCTTGAGGACACCCAGCAGGGACTCCTTGATCCACGTGAAAGAACGGTGTCATCTCTTGCTCAGCCAAAATGGCTTTCGGGCCGCAGTAGAGCTGCATGGCCAGCTCCAGCATGAGTGGAGGGTAGTCAATGTCAATGGCTTCCTCCTGCAGCTTGACAAGGTTGATGGTGTCATAGAAGGTGGACATGTCCATAAGGACTGTGATGCCATGCTGCTGCCGGGCTTTCGTGACCTCTTGGCGCAAGAGCCTTTCCAATGCCACATGGAGCACATTTGCCCCTGGTCGTGCCCTGTCATGGCTCATGGTGATCGGCAGATTTTGTTGCCATTGATCTAACAGCGGCTTTCTCAGTCGGCACCACAGTCTCCATAGCGTCGAGGTCAAGGTGATTGGCCGCTCAAGTTTCTGGTTTTTGGGAAGCATGACCACCAGGTGCATTTGAAGCTGGGTTGGCAGTTCAGCTGCGCGTTCCATGTGATGGAGCAATTGCAGCAGCGGTGTCAATGCCAAGGGTGGAATGGACTTGAGCATCTGGACTGAGACTGCATCCGGTCCACTGGCTCTTTCCGGGAGCGTTTTCAGTGTTCGTTGGAGTTGACCTGGTGTGATTGGTTCCAGGGTCAGTGCCTGCCGTTGGGCCATCTGCTTGATGTCAGGTCTGGTGGCCGGATCATTGTCCTGTCGAAGCTTCCATAGTCCTCCCCAATCGGCCAGTCGCTGGTTCATCCGCTGCGGCATGGGTGTCATTCTGTATGGTCTTTCCCAAGCCAACTCACTGCTTTTTAAGCTTCTGAACAGGCCTCGGAGGCCTTTTTGATGCCCTTCTTGCAGCCATTGTCGATACTGCAGAGTGCTTTCGTCCTGAGCATGTTGTTGTGCTTCTTGTAGCTGATGGGCTATGGTCTGTAGAATCAGCTCAGCTGCATGGGGATCTCTGTAACGAAGCCAATGATGACAGGTATCAAGGAATTGTCCCCAGGTGGGGGCTCCGATCCACTGGTTGGGCACTTGGGTAAGCCTTTGGAGGAATCCTCGGACTGGGCCGGTCTGGACTTGCTGTGGTTGTTGTAATGCAAGGGTGAAGACCACTTTGATCTGTTCCCAGAAGGCTGGCTTGCCTTTGCGCCACGTGTGACCCTTTGGCTGGAGCATCAAAGGCTTGGTGACAGCTTGCAGGTTGCGCCCTCTGCCTTGGGCTGCCCATGGGTGTTCTTGTAGTAGATATTGTTTGGTTTTTGGAGAGCCAGTCTGCCCAGGACTGTGCGGCTGTGTTTGGAGGAATGCCATAGTGGTTGATGCAGCGTGCCTGAGACTTGTATGTGGTCCAAGGGCGGAAGTCAATGTCAGGCACTGGAGGCATCGGAGGGAAGTATGCCATTTGTCTGTACTCCCTGGTGGCAGCTTCAATATCAAAGTCCAGTTGGAGCAAGGCATGTGGTCTCCATGGAACATCCCATTTGGATTGGAGTGTCGTGGTGCCGGCCAGGGAGTTGTGCAAGACGGCATAATCTATAATGTTCCCTAATATACTGTGGTCTGGCGCCAGTATCCCAAAATGGAACTTGGAGGGCAAGACCGTGCTGGCCAGGGCACTGGGTGGGTTCTGCCAATCCCCGATGAGCACAAAGGGATGTGTTGTGTGGGAGAGCAACGTCAGCAGGTGAGCCAGTATGTCCGCATTGGCTTCACTCTGAAACGTTTCTCCTGTTCGCAAGTAAAGCCCTACCACCAAAATGGTGGTTTCAGTGGCCTGCCATAAGAAGCTTTGGTATCCACAGCCTTTGTGGGTGTAGGATTGGAATTGCGTCAATCCACATGCAGGGTCTGCTACCACCAGGATGCCGCCATGTGTGCCAGTTCGCTCCTGATTTGGCTCAGCCGGAGTGCCAAACACGGTTCTGCCTCTAATGCTGAAGTATTGACAGATCTCCCAATGCTTCTGTGGGTCCAGATGGGTCTCAACCAGGATGTAAATGCCGCTGTCCCTTGTCCAGTACCAATCTATGACTTGCCTGCCAAGATTTGTGACATTGGCATAGTGCAAGGAATTGTGACCTTGTGTCAAGCGGGCCTTCTTGATTGGGCTGGGATGTAGCGGTGGTTCAAAATCTGGTTCTTCTGCTGGCGGTAGACCTTGTAGCACCTGTTGTGGTGATTTGAAGCAGTCAATGTTGACAGCCCAGATCTGTGTGATCTGACTGGCTAATGCCGGTGTGAGGTGTGGCAAGTGGGTGGGAACCTTGCCGTCATCTGCTAACCACATCAGATCTCGGTAGATCAAGATGGCGTAGTAGTGTCCCTCCTGATGCGATTGGCCTCGATGACATATCAACACTGCCGGCACGAATTCAGTGGAGGTTCTGGAGAAGCCATCGAGAGACCTTGGCATAGTAAAGGTGCCGTAGGGGTTGAAAGGCTTCTGATGCTTAGTCATGACCCCCTCAATGCAGGTGTTCCTGGTGACATGGCACACCAAGATCTTCTTATCATCCATCAGGTATTGTCCCATGCCCTGATTGGCCCAGTTGTTGGCTAGATCTTGAAAGGAGACTCCATCGGGCCAATCATCTGGAAATGGAATCAGGATGGGCTGCTGGACATGATCTGCCAGGTAACCACCTTCACGAATTTCAGCAAATCGGTAGTGAAAAGCTCGACTTTGGGAGAGCAACCACAAAGAGTTCACAAAATGGCTTGCATCACCTTGCACATTCAAGTCATGCTGCTTCCAGAGGTCCTTCAACCCTGGCAAAGCTTGGAGGTCGACAGGCTCGGCCATATCTATCGACTCCTGTACTGCCTCTTGTAAGGTGCCCCACGGTTGTGTGCTTGTCTCCTGCAAAAGAGCGCACACCCATGTGAAGGCTCTCCATGGGGCATTTGCAAAACATCGCAAGCTCGGATTGCCAACCACCATAGTGAGGTTTTGGAGGATGCAATCTGTTGATGTGGCATAGTTTTGCATGCCTGCAGTCGTTGGAGTGGAGGTGGAAGGAGTCAAAGGACTCGTCGGGGCCCCTCCCAAAATGGAAAGGTACGTCAGACCATCAGGCGTCTGGCTAGCCGTTGTGCTCTCAGCCAAGAATGTTTGCCTGGGGTCATCAAAACTGTGTGTATTGTGCTCTTGTCTACCTGTGGTTGAATGTTCCCCTTCAAAGGTAGGAAAGAGCTCCCTTGTGTATTGGTCAGCTGATTGCTGTGCATTGTCCCCTGCACACAAAGTAGCTGAAAACCCACAATGCTGATCTGAGCCTGTGTCAGCGCGGCAAACCGGTTGTGGTGGAGGTACTGCCATCAATCGATCAGCTTCATCAAAACTGTGCTCTTCACTTGAAATCGTCAAAATCGGACTTTCATGGCCTTCACATGACTCCATGTCATCTTCCGGAACCGGGAAAGTCCAGCCCTGATACATGAGTGAGCTCATGTTACCCACACTGTCCTGTCTTCCCCAGGGCAGGTGTCTCAGTTTTCCGCCGCTTGGTGGGGTCCTCTTGATCTTGGTTAGGTCGTTTCAAGAGGCCATGCAGCTGAGTCTTCTGCTCGTCTGTCAACGAAATGCCCAGGCTATGGACAAAGGATTCAACAGCCATGGGAATCTGTTCAGCTTCTCCATGGGCCGCCGGCAGCTCAGAAGGTGTTGGTGTCTGATTGACTGCCTTCATGTAGTCATCAGAGAGACTTTTGAGGGATTGCTGGCCTTCAGTGAGCTTCGTTTGAAGTTCCTGCATGTCGGTCAGCAGGGCTGCATACTGTGCCTTGACATTGTCAATCTTGGCCTGGAGCTGGGTCTTCCTCATGGACAGGTTTTTGAGCTCTGTCACACGACCTTTGAGTTTGCCCGCAATCTCTTTCTCTGTGCAAGGCTCAGGCGTGGTTAGTTTGTTGACCAGATCCTGCACCTGCTGGGGTAAAGACTCCATGTGGGACTTGAGGACGTCCTTGAGTTCCGGCTCTTCTGGCTTTTGAGGTCCGATGCCAAGGGCTTGCAATCGAGTTTGCGTGTCCTCCGTCAGTGTAGTCCACGTGGTTGCCAAGAGGTCAGTGGCCTCCTGTTGCATCTTGGAGATCTTGAGCGGTCTGACTTTTGGTAGGCCTGGTGGAGCTTCTGGCCATTGGCGTGCTGCTTTGGTCAGCTTTCCGGTCGGTTTGCCATACCCTTTGCCTTTGCCTGTGCTCGTCAGTGGTGTCATCCACATTGTGCCACACCTTCGACACCTGTTCCCAGGGTACATCTTGTCCTGCCAGATCCAATTTGCACATGTAGACTTGGTGCAAACTTGATATGCACGGCACCAGTTGGTGGACATGGTGCCTAGGGTCTGGATCTCAGGGAACAAGGCAGGGTGCAGGATGTAGTGTGAAGTTCAGGGCACCGATCACGTTCAGGCCTGGAAGGTTCTTGAGCAAGTAGGGATTACGGGCAAAGTGGTACTCGAACTTGTCCCGAGTGAGGAAGAAGGTCAAGGCGAGCTCTGCCAGCCACCGAAGTTCTCAACAAGAGTGTCCAAGGTGAAGTCGAGGATAGCTAGCAAAGGAGTCCAGTGCCGGTGTCGAACTTCAAGAAGTCTATGGCGCTTTCTCCTGTGCCTGGCTTTGTATGGGACCAGGTTGAGACCTCAAATGGCTTGAGCCTTGTATGTATGTATGTATGTCGCTACTCTGTGCTACTACTTCAGGGCGTTGTAATTTCGGAATTTCACTGAAGTATCAAGCAAAGGGTTTTGTGTATTTTCAGTCAGTGATCTGGTTGGATGATTGGAAGAACACAGAGCGTAGGGCACACCGTGCGAACAGGTAGGACTGTGGCAGAAAAAATGTCATTCTGCAGTTGGCACAGTGGACGTGCAGGCACAAGGATTTCAGCGGCACTGGACATACTCCGCCTCCGAGGTGACGTCATACACCATCAGAATTCCCATGGCACTGCGATAGTACCTCTGTACTCTGTGTCGCAAAATCTTGACTCAATGAGTCGTCGTCTACTGGAATGATCAGCGCCATACAAAACACGCTGCTGATATATATATATATATATGTATGTAGAAGTACTGTGCAGCTGCAAGTAGAACTTTTACAATAAAATCACGGCAAGTTGAACTTCTGAGATTTTCACTGCTGTGTGATTGTTTGAAAGCGTTCCTGTCCAGCTGTATCCCAAACCTGCAGCTTCACTCGCTTTCCTGCCAAGAATAAATCTTCAATGCCCTTTGCATCAGTGTGTCTCAAAGCTGCTTTCTGGCTGCACGAAACAAGAACCTCTCATCCACAGCATTTTGGTCTTGTAGTCAATCCCTGGAGTGGCAAGCAAGGAGTCATGAATGTCATGAATCATGAAGGTTCAGTTGCAAACGAACCTCAATCAACCACAAAATATCTGTTTGCCTATCGTTGAGAGTTTCCCATGCTTGACAGTGTCGTCCACAAACTTGAGAACCAATGCAGTTTTTCCAACGCCTCACTGGAGCAACTCGATGACTTACAACTAGACTCATACTCAACCCAAGAATGGCAATGCACAAAATAGACCGGTGGCTTTCTGAGAATGCGTCCTGAGTCACCAATCCTCAGTGAACTGCAAGAAACAAATGTTGTCCTTGTGGCAATCTGGGGCAGCAATTGGCCAGGACAAGAACCATGCACACGCATAGCATGTGCCGCAAACTCTCCATCAAGCCAAGAAACATCATCAATTTTATGAAGAGATCGCATGCCATTCCGAACTACACTACCTACCTATGATGAAGCAGCCACTTGCTGAAACTCTCTAGCGACTCCATTCCACCTTGATGCGAGCATGGGTGAGTCATTCCGAATTATATATCTACGTGCCATAACAGTGCACCTCGAGCCCAAACAAACTTAGCAAAGATACTAGGGCAAGGATTGCTCTTGAGTTCACTTGTTTCGTCAATAATATTGTTAAATATGGATCATGTCGCTCTGAATCTGGTTCGGTTTACACTTTTCCCCGACTGCGCACAAACACGTGTTGAGAAGGATTGTGAGGATGCCCGCAGATCACTAAACTACAGCCACTGAACGAGTTGCGGTTGCAAGTCTGCAAGAAGGTGACCCACACGCGAAGCCGTTTGCAGCCCAAGCCGCTGGAAACTACTTCACTTTCAACCATCACAAACAAAAGCCACGACAGGACTCTGATTGGCTCGACTCTCAACGTTACACGATGACCTCTGACACGCTGCCAAGTTGACTCGGGCAAGATTCTTGTGACTGAAGATCCTTGCTGAAACAGACCTGGCATATGGATCGTTCGCTGGAACATTGGCCTGCGAATTGATCGTGCAGCCGCAAAGCAGTTTGAAAGTAATTGAGCTCATTCAATCCCGAACACGTTCCATGCTTCTGCCACTCGTGCCGCCAGAACTCATCCTCAGATTCTCCATATTCAGGACAAGAAGGCCACTTGCTTTGCAAGTCTTGACGAATGTCTCGCAAGGCATTCATGTCAAAATCAGGTCCTTCGCACCCGTTGCCCCACTCAGGCACTCAGGCCACAAACCATGCAACGTCCAGTTTTGTGAGCCTTTGCACTTTTGCATCTTTAACTCCCAGCATTGACCACCAGGGTATGCACATTGTTCCACGGAGCTTGAATTCACAAGACCCAGTGAAAGAATTAGAAGGGGAGAGACCATGGCCTTGCAAGGTTCAATTTCGAGCAGCTCAGCCAAGATTCTGCGAATGCAAAATAGAAGGCAATCACACTAGGCCTGGTTTAACACCACTGTAAGTCAAAATAGTATCAAAGGTGACTGGTGGGTCACTCCTGACCTGGCATGAACTGGCACGGTTGTATTCGGAAACTGGGACGGCTGTATTCAGAAACTGGGACGGTTGTATTCGGAAACTAGAGGGATGCATTAGGAAACTAAACGGTTGTATTTGGAAACCTGTATTCGGAAACTACAAACCTATATTCGGAAACTGGCACGGTTGTATTCGGAAACTGGAGGGAACTCGGAAACTACGAAGAGCAACACCAAACATTACATGGAAACAAAGCAAAACTACAGGGAATTGACTTCTTCGCACCGCGGAGACTGATAAGCTCAGTAGTAAGTAGTGAAGGTACAATTCATTAGTAAATCAAGCTCACTTACTGCTGTACAATATACACGTGTGTCATTTCTGGTTTAGCTTTGTATTATAACCCCAACCCCAACCCCCCCAACCCCACCTATGTTTATTGCCCCCACTCCCCACCCCACCTGAACGGAGAATTTAGGCTCTTAAACTCTGTGACCCCAAGTCACTGT